CATAGGCTTTTTTGAGCTTGGGCAAGGACACAGGGGCCCCATGATCCCCTATTGAGGGCCTGGGGTCAGTAGGGGGCCCCATGAGATGCCCCTGGAACCTTTTTCATAGGCTTTTTTGAGCTTGGGCAAGGACACAGGGGCCCCATGATCCCCTATTGAGGGCCTGGGGTCAGTAGGGGGCTCCATGAGATGCCCCTGGAACCTTTTTCATAGGCTTTTTTTTGAGCTTGGGCAAGGACACAGGGGCCCCATGATCCCCTATTGAGGGCCTGGGGTCAGTAGGGGGCCCCATGAGATGCCCCTGGAACCTTTTTCATAGGCTTTTTTGAGCTTGGGCAAGGACTCAGGGGCCCCATGATCCCCTATTGATGGCCTGGGGTCAGTAGGGGGCCCCATGAGATGCCCCTGGAACCTTTTTCATAGGCTTTTTTGAGCTTGGGCAAGGACACAGGGGCCCCATGATCCCCTATTGAGGGCCTGGGGTCAGTAGGGGGCTCCATGAGATGCCCCTGGAACCTTTTTCATAGGCTTTTTTGAGCTTGGGCAAGGACACAGGGGCCCCATGATCCCCTATTGAGGGCCTGGGGTCAGTAGGGGGCCCCATGAGATGCCCCTGGAACCTTTTTCATAGGCTTTTTTGAGCTTGGGCAAGGACACAGGGGCCCCATGATCCCCTATTGATGGCCTGGGGTCAGTAGGGGGCTCCATGAGATGCACCTGGTACCTTTTTCATAGGCATTTTTGAGCTTGGGCAAGGACACAGGGGTCCCATGATCCCCTATTGAGGACCTGGGGTCAGTAGGGGGCTCCATGAGATGCCCCTGGAACCTTTTTCATAGGCTTTTTTAAGCTTGGGCAAGGACACAGGGGCCCCATGATCCCCTATTGCCCGGGGGCCCCATGAGTTGTCAGACCGCCCCAGCCCCAGTGTTTGGTTAATAGGATGTTTGGGAGGCTGCTGTATATACCTATTATGATAGAAATATTTAGGCTACCATTGTGAAAGCTAGTTACCCAGCCTTCATTCTGGACCACTGTCTTTATTACCTTCAGGACTCGTACACACGGGTGTTTGGAGAATGGTAAAAGCAGGTGGCTGAGCAGTGGTTTTACTGCCCTCCAACCACCCATTCAGCTGTTCAGAGCTGTGCACATGCCGTGGAAAATATTAAGCTGCATGCTGCTGTTGGCAGGCTCACTCTCCCGCTGAACACAACCCATTCAAGTAAATGGGGCCAATCCGAAAACACACAGTTTTCTGCAGGGTGGGTCAGCATTTTGTACTTGTTACAAAGTCAGTGACTGAAAATGTATTCAAGCCAGAGGAACAGAATACCATCCAGGCACTTGCATTTTGTCAGAAAGTCAGCAGTAGCAGCCCCATAGTTCACTCATGACAGGTTTACTTTAAGGATTAATATTACTGCCAAAACTTTGTTTAATGGACATCATTTTCTTCCATTGTTAAACAACCCTGCTCCCCCGTTCATCAATGGACGTTTATCCTGATAAACTCGGGGCTTTAGGCTGCGGCAGGGCAATGGCTGCCTTTACTGTATACATTTCCTATCACACCTCGCTGTACAGTATGTAACCAATCTCCCATTACTCTGAAGAGTATGTGGGCACCTACATAGAAATCAGCGGAGTAGCTTTCTTGAGCCTTACACATATATAGCACATGTCACTCTATAGTGCCAGTATTCATTTATACATGGGGAGGTAATTCAGAATATCACACAGCCTGTGGCATATGGTCCCTTTCACAAAGCAGTACCGTACCACCGCATCTGTGCGGACCATGGACCCCAGAGTACAGAAGGGTTGTGGAAAAGCAGAGGTCTTGCGGGTTTCACATTTATAGATGGCAATATATCTTCATGATGGGCATGAATGCTAGAGAAGATTTTTAGGTAGAGATATTATCCCTGTCCTTTCCTGCGATTGCCACACTGCCACCCTCTCGTTTCTCCCTTTCACTGTGTTTAAAGCTTGAGACCTGTTCTTTTTATTACTGTAAATGACCTATGTGTCCCTGTTTGTACGTGGTGTGAGGGGGTATTCATAACATTAGGAAGAATGTTTACTGGTTGTTTCCCATAGCCACCAATCTAACTGCAGCTTTCACTTTACTGTTTCACACAGGAGCTTACACTCTAATGTGGTAGGGACTAGACACACACACACACACACACACACACACCATTCGTAGAGAATCCTGAGCTAGTCATGTCAGTCTGTGCACCAGAGGAGCTTACACTCTAATGTGTTAAAGACTAGAAACACACACACACCATTTGTAGAGAATCCTGAGCTAGTTATGTCAGTCTGTGCACCAGAGGAGCTTACACTCTAATGTGTTAGGGACTAGACACACACACCATTTCGTAGAGAATCCTGAGCTAGTCATGTCAGTCTGTGCACCAGAGGAGCTTACACTCTAATGTGGTAGGGACTAGAAACACACACCATTTGTAGAGAATCCTGAGCTAGTCATGTCAGTATGTGCACCACCAGGAGCTTGCACTCTAATGTGGTAGGGACTAGACACACACATACACACACACCATTTGCAGAGAATCCTGAGCTAATCATGTCAGTAGGTGCACCAGAGGAGCTTGCACTCTAATGTGGTAGGGACTAGACACACATGCACACAACACAACAATCTCACACACTTTGGTTTAGTCTTCTAGATGGATGAATCTGGAACACCAGGAAGACGTTTTTGGACATACAGGTGAAACTCGAAAAATTAGAATATCGTTCAAAAGTTCATTTATTTCAGTGCAGCAACTTAAAAGGTGAAACTAATATATGAGATAGACTCATTACATGCAAAGCAAGATAGTTCAAGCCGTGATTTGTCATCATTGTGATGATTATGGCTTACAGCTCATGAAAACCCCAAATCCACAATCTCAGAAAATGAGAATATTCCATGCAATCAATAAAACAAGGATTGTACATAGAGAACAATATCGGACCTCTGAAAAGTAGAAGCATGCATATGTACTCAGTACTTGGTTTGGGCCCCTTTTGCAGCAATTACTGCCTCAATGCGGCGTGGCATGGAAGCTATCAGCCTGTTGCACTGCTGAGGTGTTATGGAAGACCAGGATGCTTCAATAGCGGCCTTCAGCTCTTCTGCATTGTTCGGTCTCATGTCTCTCATCTTTCTCTTGGCAATGCCCCATAGATTCTCTATGGGGTTCAGGTCAGGCGAGTTTGCTGACCAATCAAGCACAGTAATCCCACGGTCATTGAACAACCAGGTTTTGGTGCTTTTGGCAGTGCCAAGTCCTGCTGGAAAATGAAGTCAGCATCCCCATAAAGTTCATCTGCAGAAGGAAGCATGAAGTGCTCCAAAATGTCCTGGTAGACGGCTGCATTGACCCTGGACTTAATGAAGCACAGTGGACCAACACCAACAGATGACATGGCTCCCCAAATCAACACAGACTGTGGAAACTTCACACTGGACTTCAAGCATCTTGCAGTGTGTGCCTCTCCATTCTTCCTCCATACTCGGGGTCCTTGGGCCTCTCCATTCTTCCTCCATACTCTGGGTCCTTGTGCCTCTCCATTCTCCTCCATACTCGGGGTCCTTGTGCCTCTCCATTCTTCCTCCATACTTGGGGTCCTTGGGCCTCTCCATTCTTCCTCCATACTCGGGGTCCTTGGCCTCTCCATTCTTCCTCCATACTCGGGTCCTTGGGCCTCTCCATTCTTCCTCCATACTCGGGGTCCTTGGGCTCTCCATTCTTCCTCCATACTCGGGGTCCTTGTGCCTCTCCATTCTTCCTCCATACTTGGGGTCCTTGGGCCTCTCCATTCTTCCTCCATCTCTGGGTCCTTGGGCCTCTCCATTCTTCCTCCATACTCGGGGGGCCTCTCCATTCTTCCTCCATACTCGGGTCCTTGGGCCTCTCCATTCTTCCTCCATACTCGGGGTCCTTGGTTTCCAAATGAGATGCAAAAGTTGCTCTCATCAGAAAAGAGGACTTTGGACCACTGAGCAGCAGACCAGGTTGTTTTTCTTTAGCCCAGGTAAGATGCTTCTGACGTTTGTTGTTCAGGAGCAGCTTGACGAGGAATACGACATTTAAAGCCCATGTCCAGGATCCGTCTGTGTGTGGTGGCTCTTGATGCACTGACTCCAGCCTCAGTCCACTCCTTGTGAAAGTCCCCAACACTTTTGAATGGCCTTTTCCTGACAATCCTCTCCAGTCTGCGGTCATCCCTGCTGCTTGTGCACCTTTTTCTTCTACACTTTTCCCTTCCACATAACTTTCTATTAATGTGCTTTGATACAGCACTTTGGGAACATCCAACTTCTTTTGCAATTACCTTTTGAGACTTTCCCTCCTTATGGAGGGTGTCAATGATGGTGTCAGGTCAGCAGTCTTTCCCATGATTGTGATTCCTACTGAACCAGACTGAGAGACCATTTAAAGGTTCAGGAACCCTTTGCAGGTGTTATGGCTTAATTATCTGATTAGAGTGGGACACTTTGAGCCGAGAATATTGCACCTTTTCACAATATTCTCATTTTCTGAGATTGTGGATTTGGGGTTTTCATGAGCTGTAAGCCATAATCATCACAATGATGACAAATCACGGCTTGAACTATCTTGCTTTGCATGTAATGAGTCTATTTCATATATTAGTTTCACCTTTTAAGTTGCTGCACTGAAATAAATTAACTTTTGCACGATATTCTAATTTTTTCACCTGTAGAGCGAGCATACAAAGTCCATGCAGATAGGACCTCATGTTTTGCTTTACAGCCCCAGTGTCAACCAGTAGGTCACTATGAAAGCGAAGACATGATTGGTGGCGATGGGTTACAAATCCACGTATTCCTTTCTGCTGCATCACTGAATACCCCTGTTAGTGTACACTGCTTCCTGTAGTTTAGTAGACTGGTTCTCATTGTTTGATACTCCTAATAATTTACTGTCATTCACCGACGCACTGAACAAGCTTTGTCTGGGCAGGAGTACAAGCGCAAGCAGCTGGAGGAGCAGCGCCAGTCAGAGCGCCTGCAGCGACAGCTCCAGCAGGAGCATGCCTATCTGAAGTCGCTGCAGCAGCAACAGCAGCAGCAACAACAAGAGAAGAAGCCCCTGTACCATTATAACCGGGCCGTCATGAACCCCAGTGAGAAGCCAGCCTGGGCCAGAGAGGTAGGTGTACTTATAGCCCCTTTTACTCCTTCTTGTAGCCCCAGCTACTCCTCACCTACTTATCCCTACTCAGTGCTGGGTATAATTTTCCAGGTATATCTGTGGCCTATGTAGAGTCTAGGATATGGACGAAAAAGGTCATTTATTCATCATCACGTGGAGCCAGCATGCTGATTTAAGCAGCACATATTGTAAATCCCTTTTCTTGGGGAGTCACTAACCTGGAGCAAGCAAACAGGTTTGAAGTCCCCATTCTGTAGCAGGGTTTCTTTTTAATATCTGTAAAGTTTTGTAAATTTACATTTTTTTTTTGTTTTTAGAAATAACAAATATGTTATACTTACCTGCTGTGTGTAATGGGTTTGCACAGAACAGCCCTTATCCTCTCCTTCGCAGGTCCCCTGCCAGCACTCCTGGCCCCGCCCCACTGCTGAGTGCCCACATAGTGAGCTGCTTGCTATAGGGGCACTTGTGCATAAGCGGGCACTGTGTGTCCATCAGACACACAGAGTGTGGCTCCGCCCCCCACTGGCTGTGATTGACAGCAGCAAAAGCCAATGGCTCCCACTGCTGTGTTTGAGCCCATGAGGAGAGAGCCGAGAGAGACTCGGCTTTCATGCAAATTCCGGGATTAAAATCGGGCTCAGGTATGTATTTGGGGGGAATGCATTGAGGTGTAGAAAAAAAAAAACCTTCTGCCCTTTAGAACCAATGTAATATCCTGTGTCCATGCAGGACAACTCGGCAGAAAGCTGACAGAAAATGAGAGGAACAGACATGTCTGCATTCCTTTACAGACAGAATACACTTGAGAGCAGAGTTTTCTACATCGAAAAGCTGAGCTCCTTTAACAAATAAAAATCATAGTCATAACATAAATAGCTGCAAAAACATCCTAAATCTAATGTATATTTATATGAATGTCTTCATATACAGAGTTAAATGCCTTACTTTAACCCCTTTGTAACCGCCCACCATATGTGCAGCAGCATACGTGTGGGCTTTAACACCCATGTGCCCCACATATGCATTGCTGGGCAGCCCGTATTTGTACTGAGAGTACACTCACGGCGTACTCCCCAGCAAAAAGACCAAGTTGTCAAAGACAGCTCTTGGTCCAGGCTAGACCAAGGCAAGAGGAAGGACCCTCTTCTGATCCTGTGATCACTGATCACAAACCCTTCCCACCGCCGGGTGTTCTGAGAAGGGAGATGTACTGCACGTTTCGTTCTGCACTTCCGTGTCCCATTTTCAGATTACAGTGGGTTAAAGCCCCTTATTGGCTGACATCAATCAGCCTGTCCAGGCTTTGGAAAGTCACAATCCACCCAGATGCTTTGACCGGCAGCTGACTCAGCCACTAAGCAAGCTGCTGAAAACCTAAGCCAGCTGCCCCCGCCCCCTCCACAGCCTGGCGCTTGAGTGAGCATTGGAGGCACATAGCAGAGAGCCGAGAGGCGATTCTTTTCAAAGTAGAAGTGATTTGAGTGGCTATACAGCCGCTGGATCACTTTTACATGCGGTGGAAGGTGGTCCCGGCTGTCCTTTTGCCGCCTTCCGGGCTCTCCCATTCCACCGGCTGACCATAGAGATGAGTGAGGAACGGAAGAACCCCGAGCAATCTCTGGTCTAAGAAACTAGAGGCGGCAAGGATTTTCTCACTTCTGGTTCCGGTTTGTTTACAAGCCGTTACCAGCTCATGAAAACATCAGATCAGATGCTTTTGAGGTCATAGGAGAGACCTCCTTTTTTTTTTTTTTTTTTTTTTTCAGGGCCTTTTCTTTCAGAAAATATATACATTTTGGGGGTTCCAAATAATTAACTAGTAAAAAAAAAAATGCAGATTTTTACATGTACAGTGGATATAAAAATAGTCTACACACCCATGTTTAAAATGTCAGGTTTCTGTAATGTAAAAAAAATGAGACAAAGATAAATAATTGCAGAACTTTTTCCACCTTTTTAATGTAACTTATAAACTACAACTCAGTTGAACAACAAACTGAAATCTTTTAGGTGTAGGGAAGCAAAGATAAAAAAAAAAAATCTGGTTGCATAAATGTGCACACCCTTACACTAATAATCCTTTGTTGAAGCCCCTTTTGATGTTATTCCAGCACTCAGTCTTTTTGGGGAGGAGTCTATCAGCATGGCACATCCTGACTTGGCAATATTTGCCCGCTCTTCCTTGAGAAAACACTCCAAATCTGTCAGATTGTGAGGACATCTCCTGTGCACAGCCCTCTTCAGATCACCCCACAGATTTTCCATCGGATTCAGGTCTGGGCTCTGGCTGGGCCATTCCAAAACTTTCATCTTCTTCTGGTGAAGATATTCCTTTGTTGATTTGGATGTATGCTTTGGGTGGTTGTCATGATGAAAGATGAAGTTCAGCTTTCTAGCAGAAGCCTGAAGGTTTTGTGCCGATATTGACTGGTATTTGGAACTGTTCATAATTCCCTCTACCTTGACTAAGGCCCCAGTTCCAGCTGAAGAAAAACTGCCCCAAAGCTTGATGCTGCCACCACCATGCTTCACGGTGGGTATGGTGTTCTGTTGGTGATGTGTTGTTTTTGTGCCAAACATATCTTTTGGCAATTATGGCCAAAAAGTTCAACCTTGGTTCATCAGACCAGAATACATTTTCCCACATGCTTTTGGGAGACTTCAGATGTGTTTTTGCAAATTTTAGCCTGGCTTGGATGTTTTTCTCTGTAAGAAAAGGCTTCAGTCTTGCCACTCTACCCCATAGCCCAGACATATGAAGAATACGGGAGATTGTTGTCACATGGACCACACAGCCAGTACTTTCCAGATATTCCTGCAGCTACTTTCATGTTGCTGTAGGCCTCTTGGCCACCTCCCAGACCAGTTTTCTTCTTGTCTTTTCATCCATTTTGGAGGGACGTCCAGTTCTTGGTGATGTCACTGTTGTACCATATTTTCTCCACTTGATGATGACTGTCTTCACTGTGTTCCATGATATATCTAATGCCTTGGAAATTCTTTTGTACCTTTCTCCTGACTGATACCTTTTACAATGAGATCCCTCTGATGCTTTGGACGCTCTCTGCGGACCATGGCTTTTGCTGTAGGATGCGACTAAGAAAATGTCAGGAAAGACCTACTAGAACAACTGAACTTTATTTAGGGTCAATCAGAGGCACTTTAAATGATGGAAGGTGTGTACTGACTCCTATTTAACATGATTTTGAATGTGATTGCTTAATTCTGAACCACGCTACATCCCCAGTTATAAGAGGGTGTGCACACTTATGCAACCGCATTATTTTAGTTTATTATGTTTACTCCCCTGCCCCCCCACTAAAAGATTTCAGTTTGTTTTTTAATTGAGTTGTACAGTTTATAGGTTACATTAAAGGTGGAAAACGTTCTGAAATTATTTATCTTTGTCTCATTTTTTTACATCACAGAAACCTGACATTTTAACGGGTGTGTAGACTTTTTATATCCGCTGTATGTGAGAAGTGTCGGAATAGGCTTGGGAGTCAAGTGGGTATATACCTATATGGCGACCTGCTTGACTATGTGGTATCTCTTCACCAGGTGGAGGAACGGTCAAGACTGAATAAGCAAAACTCGCCTCTGGCCATCACTAAACTCAGCTCGGTGGAGTTGTCGGGGCCCCAGTCACAGACGCCTCCCTCCCAGAGACCGTTAGATTTTCAGGACCATAAGGTATGATAGGCTGCAGATTTCTATGTTCGTGCCACCTTAAGGAATTCTCCATAATTACCGTATATCTTAGTTTTGATAAGAGGTTGTTTTTGTTTTTACCATAGATGAATGTTATTCAGTATATAAAGTCTTGTTAGGGTAAACCTGACCAATCCAGACAGAGTATATAATTTTGAATTAGAGGTTAACCACGGGTCAGAATGATGAATAAATCCACAGATATGGGAAGCTGAAAGTGGTTGTAAACCTCAGTTATGAAATATGAGCAAAACATATCCCTCTATACTGTGTACTTGTCTCAATCCAGAGCACTAAGTGTCTCTTCTGTCCACTGCCTCGTTCCTCTATCAGCATGAATCACTTCTGACAAGTTTTCCTGACACCAAGAGAAAAATGGTGACGGGAGGGACCTCCAGCAGATTGACATCCTCAGCTCTGCTCCTGTGTGGAGGGGGGTGTGTGTGTCCCTTCCCCTCCAATCAGCTCTCAGAGCTTTCCTCGCTGATGTAACTTCAGCTCCCCCGCTCCCTTCTTTTCAGAGCTGAGAGATCCTGTGTAAATTCTGCACTTTGAATGGATGCAGGGAAAAAAATGTCTGTAGATAAACAGGAACAACTTAAGTAGGAGGATTTGTTTCATCTCTGTGTCACCTGAGGCCAGTCACTTCAGTGGGTATATGGAAGGGTTTACAACCACTTGAAGTCATACGCAAATCCCAACTTTATATATATATATATATATATATATATATGTGTGTGTATATGTATGTATGTATATATATATATATGTATATATATATATATATATATATATATATATTTATATATATACACATATATATATACATATATATACATACACATATTATATATATATACACACACATATATATATATATATATATATATATATATTTATATATACATATACAATATATATATTGTGCTTGACAGACTTCGATCCCAATTTCAGGGCCTTTCTTTTGGACCTTTAAAGCCCAACTCTGATCTTTTTCTTTTGGAAAGAGCAGGGAAGGGTTATAACCTGTCAGGTGTTTTTATTGTCATCTGTGTCCTATTTGGTGAGCTTTCCCTTCACTTCCTGTCAAGACAGGAAATGAGGGGAAATCTCTCTCAACAAGGTACAGGCAAAAATAAAACCACATTTGTAGTAGAGTGAAGGGTTGGAGTTTCTGATAATGATTTTATTGCGGTCTGTCTCTGATTTTATTGCTGTCTGTGTCTCTCTTTCCTGATGACAACCACGTCCCCTTTTTT